GGTTTAGGGCTTTTGGGGTTTAGGGATTAGTGGGTTAGGGCTTTAGGGCTTTGGGGTTTAGGGTCTGAGACTCTTAAACCAACCATACTTTCAGCACATACGGGCTAGAAGAGAAAGCCGCTAGCAGCCGCTAGCAGTTCAGGCGCAGGTATGTTGTCCAAACTTTCAATTCTGCCTGCTCCAGCAAAGTCTTGACCTCCTGCTTCCATGCCTCGAAATACAGAGCCCAACAGTCGTTGTGCCCAGCACCTGCAGCAAGTCTGTTCAGGGGCCTCTACATGGCGTGAGTCGCCTTTTTGGGTATAGTTCCTACGCATGGGTTCTGCAGCGAGCAAGTGCCAAAAGCAACGTGCCTACCCAGCACTGCAGCTTCTTGCTCCCAGTCGCCAGCTTCTCGTGGCACTGCACAGCCTGCTGGTAAGGCACGATCTCGTCCTTGTCCCCATGCATTACGAGGACCGGGCACCCAACGGATGGCAGCTTGCCCAGCGTGTCGAAGGGCTCCGGCAGCATCGCAAACTTCTCCGTCTGACCTTGAAAGACCATCGGCGCCAGCATGCTCACCGTTGGTATCTGCTTGATCGACATTAAGCCTGAATCCACGATCAGCCCATGGACTCGTCGCGCCTGCTTTGCTGCAAGGTGCACAGCGCAGGTGGCGCCGATGGAACGGCCAAGCATGACCCTCTTGGCCTCGCCCACCCCGGCTGCCTGCAGCAAAGATTCACTCTGAAGGAAGCACTGCTCTGCATCCGGGCAGAGCTTCTTCAGACTGGGTTGACCTGTTCCCCAAGCGTATCCCCGGTAGTCGACGGACAGCACGGCCGCGCCACAGGAGTGGAGCATCTCAGCGACGTCATCCAGCGCAGTGCACACTTCTGCATTGCCATGAAAGAAATAGATAACGGCTTTTACGCCGGCGGCGTCCGGCGGCACGTAGAAGCGGTAGCTGATCTTCGTGCCGTCTGACATCTCAAAAGTTCCATCCCTTACAGCTCCAGTGGAATCCAAGAACTGTGGCTCTGCCTTGCTGGGATGGAAGGCTATGCTGGTTACCATCGGGTTCTCCCATATCGCCTCAAGGCCTCCAGCCCCGCCAGCAGCGCCCCCTAAGGCCCCCAGCAGGCCTTCCAGGCCCCCCCCTTGAAAGTCCATGGCTCGCAGGGCCCTGCAGGAACCAGCTCAGCACACCACTAGCCGAAATGGCTTTCAAACACTGCGCGCGAATGTGCTGTGTTGACCTCAGGGCTGGGTAGTTGTGGGGACACTAGGTGCAAACAAAAGTGCCATGCCATCCAGAGCTGTGATGTTCTGGACATTTTCCGGGCCCAACTGTAGATTTCTACAAACCCCGCCACCCTGAAGGACCGAGGGCCAAGCTTAAGGCCTTCTCTGCAGCACTTGTGCCAATGTTACCCAAGGCGATGGCAGCCTGGACAGCAGAAACTATCTCTCTCTCTCTATATATATATATATAGATAGATTATTTATGTATGTATTTGTACCTATATTATTCATGTTTGTATTTATGTATATGTATATGTATGTACACAGCACATAACCTGTCTAGTCTCTCTCTCTCTCTCTCTCTATGTGTGTATATATATATACGAATATAAATATAAATAGATAAATAAATACATAATAAATAAATAAAAATATAATATATATATATATACATGATATACATATAGTATAATATAATATAAGATAAGATAAGCTAATATAATATATATATATATTATGTATACATACATATATATATATGATACACACACACACACAGAGACACAGACACAGACACAGACACAGACGTATACGTATACATGTACATGTACATGTATATATACATACACATACACATACACATACATAAATAGACATACGTATACATACACACACACACGTATATATATATATGAATATACATACTCTGATCATGACAAGGGTTTGAAGTTTGGGACCACTCCTTAACAAGCTGCAACCATTGGTGTTGCAGAAGGTCGATCGAACTGTCAACATGTGCAGCATCTCACCAGCAAACGGCAGCTTCTGCAGACGCAACAATCAAGCTAAGCACGCAACAACAAGCCCGAAAACCCTGAACCGCCTAACCCTAAACCCTAAACCCTAAACCCCTAAACCCTAAACCCTAAACCCTCAACCGCCTAACCCTAAACCCCTAAACCCTAAACCCCTAAACCCGAAACCGCCTAAGCCCTGCAGACCCTTAAACCGGCCTCGTGACGCACCATCCCATGCTCCTCGGTGCGCGCAAGCGCCTCGAATCAGGGGTTTACGGTTCAGGGCTTAGGGGGTTGACCTCGGGTTGAGAGCCTTGGGTTGACGTTTAAGAACCTGCAAGCAGTTTAGGGCTTAGGGTGTAGGTTATGGTAGTTAAACGCAGAGTTTATGGATCTCCTCAGGTAAGTTGCTCCTTCTGTCTTGGGGTTTTTGTATTTTTTATGGGCTTTAGTCTAGGTTTGGGATTCATGGAATCTTGGTGTAGGGCTTTAGGCAATGCTCTCGACGGCTTGGGGTTCGTGATGTCTGGACTCAAGGGTTGAGTTTTTTTTAAATTCTTTGTGGATTCTACGATTTAGCTGTAACCGTAAAGGGCATTCAAGTTTAGGGTTCCTGAGTATGAAACCCCTGTATCATCCCTGAAAGATGCAGGTCTGATGGGTGGCAGGTAGAAATACCCTAAACCCCAAACCCTAAATCCTAAAGCCTGAATCTTAAACCCTAAACCCTAAATCCTAAACCCTAAATCATTTTAAACTCTAAGATAGGGATTCCATGCTCCAAGTTCAAAGGCCGCGGTACTGCACCGGAAAGCTGGCATTCCGAAGAGTGCACGAAGGGTTTTGGGAGTTAGGGCTTAAGGTTTAGGGGGGAGGGTTTAAGAGATTGTTGTAAGCTTTGTAGATATGGCTTGCGTAGCGGTTGACAGTGCTTCTTAAGCTTTTCATGTTTTTTTAATACAAGCCGCTTGGTGTGCTTATTCATATATGGGGCTTAGTCATTGGCATAGGGGGGTGGGGTATGGCTACACTACTTCCCAGGAACTGCGCGGAGAAGGTATCAGTCTACAGTCATTGTTGCACATCGGATGTTCACCGAGGGGGATCACTAAACCCCTAAACCCCAAACCCCTCTGGGCGCTGCACCCAAGAGGAACCCTAAAAGATTCCTTAAAGGAACCACCTACAGATTTCTAGATTCCTTGACGGAGCCCTCAAAGGAGCCCCTTGAATAACCCTAAACCCTAAACCCTCTACCCTAAACCCTAAATCCCCGAAACCCAACACCCCCAAACCCTAAACCCCATAGAGGCCCCGGACCGAGAAAACCGAAAGGCCCCCAAACCGGCCTGCAGAAGCGCCTCGGAAGCTGGCCGTTGCTTCTCTTTTTTGGGGAGCTCTTTTCTTGGCTTCTTGCAGGGAATCCTACTTTCTTAGAGGATTTCTTATAGGGTTTTAAGGGTTCAGGATTCGTAGTCTTTCTTGCTTTTGAGGCCTTCTCGGTCCAGGAGCGTGGTGGGGTCCTGCGATGAGGGTGTGGGTATTTTCGAAGATTTACGGGATGAGGCTTTCGGGCTTCGGCGTGTGGGTCTGAGGTTCAGGGCTTTTTTGCAGGTTTTTTGGGAGCTTGGGTGTACTGTGAGGTCTTCGGTTCGGGGGTCGTGGCTTCGGGCTTGATGGGCTTTCGCTTTGGGCTTTGGGTTTAGGGCTTGTTGAGTTTTAGGGAAAGGCGCGTCTCTTCACATACGCGTCTGTGTGTATATATGTAAGTAACATAGTTCACAGCTCATAGGTATGTATCTTCTGATTTACATTCTATCATGCGGTAGTGTCAATTTGTAGGTTTGAGTCCATAGAAACTGTGTACACATATATATATATATATATGTATGTATATATATATATGTATATATATATATGTATGTATGTATATATATATATAGATATATACGCACACACAACTATGCATGGTGTGATATGATGTGGTACTAAGTTATATGACATGGCAAGGTATGACATGATATTGTAGTGATACAGTATGACATGGTAATATTTGGCATGGTGGTATGATATGATATGGTAAGATATGATATGATACCGTATGATATGATATGACATGCCATGGTATGAATACTGTATGACATGACATGACCTGATAAAGCATGACATGACATGATATGCCACGGTCTGATAGGATGCGGTTTTCGCGAGCACCAACTCGAGACACAAGTGGCATTACAACATATCAAAACCAGCCATTCCCCATGTAAACACTCAATTCCACAAGCGCTCGTTCGAGACTCACATACGTGGCATCATTGCGTTTTAGCGGAATCCCCTGTTGCACACTGGATCGATGCGAACAGTCACAACTCGATGTGACTTCACCCTTGGATCCAGTACGGTGGGAAAAATATGATACGATACGACAAGATAGAACGTGATATGCACTTCTCCGAATGGAAATCAGCACCATGATCCGGTGAATGACCGCAGAGCACCTGCGTCGCTGCATCGTCAGCCATCTGCCCGAGGACAAAGGCGACCTTCAATGTGAACCGCTACGTAGATGCCATAAATATGGCTGCTTGTCCAAATATACATACCATAAACCAGCCCAGCCCAGACCATCCCATCCTATCCCTGGCAATGCCCTGTATTACCTATCTTGTATACGTGTGTGCATGTGCAGGCTCATGTACATATACGTAGTAATACATTCTGTGCACAGCACCACCTAGCAACCTGGTAGGTTCCACGGCCAAAACGTCAGTCAACATGGAACGCACTAAAAAAATATCGAGCTTCCTCATGGCGCAGCACCGCGCTGGAGCTGTCGTTCACGAGCCTCGAGCTGGACTGACATCCAGGAAGGGGGGGCCTGGGACCACAATTAGGCTTGAGTTTTTGGGGTTTAAGGTTTTAGGGATTCCTTTTAACCGGTCCTAAATGCTATTAGGGCTCGACCTTAGGATTTTGTGGGTTTTACACCCGGCACTTATAGTTGGAATCGGGTTTTTGGGGGTACAGGTATACTAATTATATGGGGACTTAGGCATAATATGACGAATCTCTCCCAGCGCTCTAATTCATACCCGCTGTCTGAGCTCTTTGGCTGTTCTCTACCTTTTCTCAGCTCGAGTTTAGGGGTTTAGGGCTTCGTGGCTTAAGGAGCAAGAGGACATGCGAGCCGTCTCTGCTCTTGGGTTTAGGGTTTACTGTAGGGCCTTAATAATTAGAACAGGGTCTTGGGGTTCTTTATATAATATAATCCCCCCAACCTAATGTAGGTAATTACTGAGGCCCCTATATTCGTTTTTTTTTTTGAGGGCCTTTTTCGTCACTTGCGCTTCGAAGCCCGAGGTAAGGGCATATAGGGTTTAGGGTCTAGGGTCTTGCTCCAAGCAGCATCTTCGCCAAAGCCTGTGTGGCAGCCGGGCCGCCCACGTTTCGCAGGGTGAACCTTATCCCTAAGGGTCCATGTACCTGAATACTATATACTATGGGCCCCAATGTACCTTTATAGGGAGACCTTTCAGGTCAATGTATGTACTATATGAGTACATGGACCCTTAGGGTAGGGGCCCCAATGTACCTTATAGGGACTACTTGAAGGCCAATGTGTATATACTCTATGAATACATGGACCCTTAGGGTAGGGGGCACCCATGGCTTCCAATGGACGCTTGCGCTTCAACGCAAGTGCATTGTCGGAGTGCCAGGTGCCCGGACTAAATTTTCTAACCTCCGCACTTCGTATTATTAGTACTATGAATATTATTATTAATATTAATATTAATATTATTATTATTGTTATTATTATAAGGCTTTGGGCATTCTGGGTTTCACAGTTTTGGATGAGCAGAGTTTGGGGTCAAGGTCGAAGCTTTACGTGTTCACGCTTGTGGTATGGAGCCTGGGAAGTGATGATATAGAGGCAATCAGAAATAAGGTTTCGTGACATTCTTACCATTTAAAATGCTGAATACGTGGGGTCGATATAGGCATATCGTTTTCGTTTCCGACTCCTTTGTCAAGAGGCATTCCCTTCCTACAGCTCCACTGCAGACTGCAAGTGCGTAAATCCCCAAGAAACTTGATAGCGCGCTGCATGATCTTAACATTCTGCTG